AAAACACCTAGGAAGAAGCCAGCCAGGGCTTTCTCAACCACGCTTAGGAACGCGTTACAGAGGGTACAGGAGACGAACCCCGGAATACCAGAGTGGGTCGGAAAGTTCTCAAAGAGAGTCGACTCGGCTCTGCCAGGAAAGCACACACGGCAACTGTACGATTCATTTTCATGGAAGCAGGCCAGCACACTGGCCCAGCTGCGGACGGGGATGGCAAGGCTCAACTGGTACCTGCACCAGATCAGGGCGGCCGCCTCGGATCAATGTGCATGCGGACAAGCAACAGAGACGGTTGAGCATTTTCTCTTCCGGTGCACCCAATGGACAGCACAACGCGCACCGATGATCCAACGGACTGATACGCACAGAGGTAACCTGTCATTTTACTTAGGCGGAAAGGCCGCATCAGACCCTGACGACTGGTCACCATGCATGGATGTCGTAAGAGAGACAGTGAAGTTTGCCATGGCAACGGGACGACTCGATATGCAGGTCAACCAAACATAGGACAGGAACAGCATAACATCACATCACTAACATTAACCACCGACTAACCCCATACGCACCCTCGTGCCACCGACAGCAGGGCTCGCTTCAGCCGCCGAAGATAGGGACCTGAACACTTGGAGGAAGTGCTCCAAGATGGCCTGCTACTAACCTCACGAGAAATTGCAATCATCGGAAGGCGTAATCAAAGATGACGCAGACGGAAGTGGATTTCATACACGGGGCTTATTTTGAGACTAGGGTAAAAACTCAACAAGGGAAGCATGTAAGACACATAGACGTTAGAGCCCTTTATGGCTTAGCCAGGGCGTAATAAACTCAGTGAGTGAGTAAGGGGTGTCCTCCTATTCCGTCATTCATCGCCTTGCGTCGAGCCGGCCCGTTGCCAGCGCGAAACTTATTGTCGCTCGAACCGCTTGCATGTTTGGCGTACATTTGTCGTCGTCCGACGGGCTGTTGCCTCCCAGATAAAAGGATATGTTGATTCTCTGTGTCTCTGTGCACTGGAGCATCTCGCTTCTGAACGTTGTCCATTTTGTGCACCGGAAGAGGAAATGCTCAACCGTCTCTGCTGCCTGTCCGCAAGCCCCGAACAACCCACTCCTTCCGGGAAGCCACTCGGCCGGCCGTGGCTGTGCCTTACCGACCCCGTTAGCCTATTGCTCCACATGGAGACCTTCCCACAGGAGTGTCTCGGCCCGGGGCAAAGCCGAGACGGTGCCGCCCCGTATCCGGTACGGGCTATACGGTCGCGTCGTCCGAGTTTGCACTTGAATCCGGCCGCAACGGCAGTCCCGTCTCTGAGCCGACAGACATGCGCCTCCGTCCTCTCGAGCGTCTCAAGTGCAGGGGCTATTACGCCGGCGATACCACGTCTTCTTAGACGCCCCAGGTACGAACTGGGAGTGCATCAAATGAACCGGCGATACCGCGTTCAAGCGACGGCCCAGGTACCAGCTGGGAACGCAGCTCCCCCGCTGCCTTCTGGTCACGACCACGGCGCTACGGCCCACCGGAAACCCTGGGCGCAACCCCAGGTCCAGCTTACCGTTACCGCGACTCGTTTCCGACTCGCAGCCGACCATGTCTTGCAGATCAGAGGCGCAGAGCAGCCGTCACGCCGGCACGACTACTCGCACTCTGTCCACGTACCCAACCCATGTACGCCGTATGATGTTCGATCGCGGTGCGCTGTGTCCTCGGGATCGGTCCGGCCGCTTTTCCTGTGCTCGAAGCTTAACAAGTCTGCTGACACCATTTCTACCCGTCGGTCTTAACAACTTCCATTACGCTCGACCAGAGCACGTAGGCTTGTTCCGAGCCCTCGCCGGGAGACGCGCCGATGCCTCATGATGCTCGACTCGTCCGCCTCCCGAGCCCAGAGCTGGATGGGCCGGAGGGTGTCCTGTCTCTTCATCGACGTCAGCCAATGTCAAGTCGGATGGTTTTCTTACGCCAGTATCCCCCGTGTAGCATGTTGGTTTCGGAAATGGCGTGGATGGTGCGGCGGTCGTTGATCGCGTAGTCCGTTTGTAGGTTCGAGAGTGCCGATGAAAATTTTCATAGCACCATCCAACCGCGGTTTTTCGACCGCGCGCGACACACCGCGCCACACCAACCACTCCTACTGACACCGGACACCACGAGAAGGTCTGCCACATCGTCCTACTGCTTTTTCAAGCAGCATCCAGTGTGCTCACTGGAGGCTCGTACATCCAGGCACGGTGGAAAGTGAGAGCGGCGCGCCTCGCAGACTGCTCTGGCGGGCGGGAGGCGAAACACGGTTCGGAAATACGCAGCCCCAAGGCGCAGGCGCTGATGAGGATGGGTGGGCCACCTGAATTGTGGCGTAACCTGGCCATTAGAGCGCTCCTGATATAAACAATAAGCGTACTACGGCCTGAGGCTTATTCACCACGTCCATCTCTTTCCACAACATCCTTTCTACATCTACCCAACATGCCTAGATTGAACATCGAGGAACGGATCACAGGTGATCCAACATGATCCCTGTTCTTCACTCCTAGCTCTTTCAATGGACCAACAGACGCTTTGGTATTGAGACAATGTTTCTAGCCAATCGCAGCAAGAATGTGCGGTTCGCGTCCCTTTATGCATGAATGTTCACATCCTCACTTCAATTTGCAAACGCATGTTAGCAGAGTCCTTGCTCCGAACGGAGCATGCCAACCAGGGCGGCAGTTAGACAAGAGCAACGTCCTCAGCAGCTCCATCAAACCACACTTCCCCTCACTCCCCGAAACGCTAAGTTGATCAAGAGGTGCTCTCAGTGGACGTCATCATCGATGCCGATTCCGACGTGCTTCCGGCCGTTTTGATGAACGAAGTAATGTGTGTGGAGGGAGGGGCTGATGAGTCAGCAATGGCCAGACGGTGGTCAGTGAGGGATCCCCGACGTGGTTCCAGGGCGGCGCCGTCTTGCCTCCTCTCGGTTATCGCGCTTTGGCTTAAGAGCCTTGATGTGACTGAAAGTGGCGGCTTCTGAACGAACGGATAGGCTGTTGCGCTTTCCATATTTATCGCATGCAAATCTTGCAAGAACTCTTCATCTGTACGTTTGCTGTCATGATTGACTGCGACGGTACCCACATGTAACCCACCAGGCGAGTCACCAGAGAGAATGCACATTTTCAATGCCCTCCGACGCTGATGGCGGAGTTCTTCCGTTCCGAACCCGGCCTGTGCCGTTGGCCTGCATACTTGAATGTCTGACTACAGCGACCCAACTACATATTAATCCGGCCCTCACAAGCCCGAAATGGTGGGCATTGCTCCTTGAAACGGACGGAGCGGAGCATGGTAAAACCGACACAGAAACATCTTAGACGGTGAGCTTGACCGTTTGTGTGAGCTTCCAGCGTCTTGTCACTGGGGGGTGTCGCTCTAATGAGGCCAAACCTGGGTTGACTGCAGGACACGCTTGATGCCTGAGCGCTTAGGCGACAGTACTGTCCAAGACCGAGACACCAACCAATGGGCACTGCAGAGCACTGCAGGTCTTGACCGATCAACAGCTTGATCATGGTTATCAACTTCATGCAAAGTACGCGTGTACATTCACAATGATGAGGGTGGTGCCGCGAATGTTCGTCCGTGTATTCTCTGTCGCACTGCAGAAACCTTTACTTTCCAACCTGCGGCCAAGGTGGTGTTGAGGTACCGGTACGACTTGCCTCGGCCGATATGCAAGCCAGCCAACCAACCCAGACTCGAAGCTTATTAATTCGCGTTCCCGAACATAAGCCGGGGGCTGACTAAGTATCGTCTGTTCAGACGCGTCCGGCGAACTTGATAATTATCCATGCGCAAATGCCATGTTTGAGTTGCGCCTCACTAACACGACTTCATTAAAGAACCAACTATAGGAGAGCACATGCGAATAATGTAACTTCTGCATATTGGATTATGTAGTAAGTACAGACGGACGCGACAATTAAAACTAGGACCGCCGTACGCCATTGTAAAGTCTGCTTTTGTTTCATCGGTCGTGTGCCACAGATCCAAATGGAACTTGTACAGCTATAGCCATTCGCCCGGTGATCGGCCTTTTTGGGCACCAGAACGCACCTCAATATTACTGTATTCTCTATCGTCTTTATGACCGCAGTCTTCCAGGATTCCTGCTGACTTTCTTAAGTGTTCTTAGCTATAGCTATTAGTAGTGCAACTAACTAGCCAGTATTGGCCTTCAAGAAGTTCGAAATGAACCCTTGAGCACAGCCTTACGCTGAGAGTAGCTAACCGATGACCGATGCAGTTGAGCGATCCAGTGGCTGAAATGGCGCCAACGAGCGTGGATGCTGACCTCCTCTCTCCCGATGATTGGCAGTAATGGCATAAAGAAGTGGGGTTTCCATGGATCGCGTAGAGCCTGATGGAGACCGCGTAAAGCAACGGCCACGCGACAACACAGCCTGAGTGTGGCGTAAGTCATGCAACCACCGATGATGCCCGGCGGAGTTCCAGTTTACAACAAAGCAGAGCGCATGCGGTGCTGTCAGCTAGTAGATCACTCTGCATAGGATTAGTCACCATCGAGCGACCTGGGCCAGATGCAGGCACTCCAAGCACCGTCGAATCACGCATCCCGGCCAAGCCACTTAAGACGAAGAATAACCAATAAGCAATAGTTAACTTCTTCTCTTTACCTACAATGCTCATGCGGAGGTGACTCCACAGCTTGACATACGCTCATTGGCACCTCTCTCACCGAAGGACGAAAAGATCCTTGTCGCCCGACATGTCATGCAAGTCCAGAGCGAATCTGCCTTGCTGCCTCGACGCCTCTGCGACCAGCAGCAGTCCGCAAGGCGGCTTTTTCGTCGGCCTCTATTCCGAACTACCGCATAGTTCAAACCGTTGCCTCTTCCGCGCGATACACATCCTCTACATCCTGTACAGCACTCCCTCGCGCAGTGCACTTTCTACGCAATAAGGCTGCCACCAGCAGCCACCTCATTCACCTCACAAGCATGTCGGACCCTCAGAACTATACTGTTGGCTGGATCTGCGCCATCACCACCGAGTTTGTCGCTGCACAGCTTTCCCAACATCCGGCTCGGATTGATGGTCGGCATCGGAGGCGGCGCGCCGAGTCAGAAGCACGACATCCGCCTCGGCGACATCGTGGTGAGCAGTCCCCGTGACGGCAAAGGCGGAGTTTTCCAGTACGACTTTGGCAAGACGATACAGAATCAGACGTTTCTGGAAACGGGGTTCCTGAACCAATCTCCGAAAGTACTGCGAGCGGCCGTAGGTGGACTCAAAGCTATGTACGAGGCGGATGGCCACCAGCTTGACGACGATGTTAAGAGGGTTATCGGGAAGAAGCCTCGACTCCGAAAGAAGTACTCGCGGCCACATCCGAGCAGCGACAGGCTGTACAAATCAGACATCGTGCATGCGCCGGACACGGAGGAAGGCTGCATCAAACTATGCGGAGACGATTCATCCCACCTCGTACCGCGCCGCGAACGGGACGAAGACGAAGACAACCCGGCAGTTCACTATGGACTAATCGCCTCTGCCAATCAGCTCATGAAGGACGCACTGGTCCGGGACAGACTGGCGGCCGAAAAAGACGTGTTGTGTTTTGAGATGGAGGCGGCCGGCCTGATGAACCATTTCCCGTGTCTGGTCATCCGGGGCATATGCGACTATTCCGACTCGCACAAGAACAAAGAGTGGCAGGGTTTTGCGGCTATGGTGGCTGCAGCGTACGCAAAAGACCTTCTTCGCCAGATCCCGCCCAACAAAATCGAGGCTGAGAGGAGGGTTGCAGAAGTCCTGGGATCAAGTTAGTGTTCTGTTTCTTTACAATTCTACGACTACGATTGAAGCTCTATTGATTAAATACCTTTGTAGTACATGCAGATGTTTCTCAAATACGCTTGACCGCAAAAGATTTGCAACAAAGCCTGCATTTTCAGGAAGTCATGCAGTGGCTCGCTCCGCCAGATCCATCAATGAATTATAACAAAGCCTTCGAGCAACGTCATGAAGGTACAGGCCAGTGGTTTCTCGACAGCGAGGAATATTCGACGTGGAAAAAAGGGCCAAAGTCCTCTCTATGGCTTCACGGCATCCCGGGCTGCGGTAAGACTGTCCTAAGTTCAACGGTTATCAAGGACCTCAGCAGCACTAAATCTTACCCGGGAAGTCTTCTCTACTTTTACTTTGACTTTACCGACACTAGCAAGCAATCGCTTGAGAGAGCGCTTCGGTCGCTTATCGCTCAGCTCTACCATAAAAGTCACGACGTCCAGACGCATCTGGATTCACTTTACTCCTCGTGCAAAAATGCTTCGCAACAGCCAAGTGTGGACTTACTGATCTCGACATTCGAGGCCATGGCGCAAAAGATCGGCGAAGTATGGATCGTCCTGGATGCACTCGACGAATGCCAAACGAGAACAGGCCCAAAAAACGAAGGGTTGTTACACTGGATTGAGAGTCTTTCAAACTCACCGCAAGTGAATGCGCACCTTCTTGTGACGAGTCGCCCTGAACACGATATCAAATCAGCATTGGAGAGATACATCGACAATCAGATCCCTCTCCAGAGCGACCTTGTTACAGAAGACATACGTGCGTATGTTCATGGAACAGTGAGACAACACGAAGGATTTAAGAGGTGGCGAACGCGAGAAACGATCCTAAATGAGATCGAAAGCCACCTGATGGAAAAAGCCAACGGAATGTAAGGCAAAATCAATATCTTCAACATCTGTTGCTAAGTTACAACACAGGTTCCGCTGGGTTTCATGCCAACTTGATGCTCTCGAAAAATGCCCTGATCCCAACAGTCTTCGGCAAACGCTACGATCGCTACCAAGGACACTGGACGAAACATATGCCCAAGTCCTACGAAGAATTCCGCCTGAATTCGAGAAAAATGCGAAGCGGTTATTACAGTTTCTTGCCTTTTCTGCACGACCTCTACGAATTGAAGAAGCTGTCGACGTTATTACGGTAGACACCAAAAGCAAGCCCAGGTTTGACGCCGAGAACAGAATGCCGCAACCAGACGAAATCTCTATCTACTGTTCAAGCTTAGTAGCTGTTGTCACTCGATATAATAACAGCAGAGACAATAAGGGCAGAGAGCTACAGCTTGCGCATTTCTCAGTAAAGGAATACCTGATATCTGATCGAGTAGAGCAAAACATCTCTAAAGCCTTCAGAGAGCCACTAGCTAGAGCCGCTATCACAGAAGTCTGTCTTACGTACCTCTTGGAGCTAGACCACAACCTTTCGCCACTGAAGATTAGACAGCTATACCCACTCGCACAGTATGCTGCACGATATTGGATGAGCCATGCTATCAAAGCCGACATCAGTCAAGTCCTTAAACTCATTGGAGAGTTTTGCCTACATAAGGAATCTCCTAAAACATGCTACCAATTGTACAAACCAGATGAGCCATGGAATGAGGAACCGAACTCTGTTCATGAAGCCAAGACCCCTGTGTTATACTATATGGCATTTGGAGGCCATAAGGAGGTCGTCCAGATGCTTCTCGACAAGGGAGCAGACGTCAACGTCCAGGGCGGCCACTTCGGCAACGCTCTCCAAGTCGCTTCATACGGAGGTCACAAAGAGGTCGTCCAGATGCTTCTAGACAAAGGAGCAGACGTCAACGCCCAGGGCGGCGAGTACGGCAACGCTCTCCAGGGCGCTTCATACGGAGGTCACGAAGAGATCGTCCAGATGCTTCTAGACAAGGGAGCAGACGTCAACGCCCAGGGCGGCCCCTACGGCAACGCTCTCCAAGCTGCTTCATTTGGAGGCCACAAGGAGGTCGTCCAGATACTCCTCGACAAGGGAGCAGAGGTCCACGCCCAGGGCGGCGAGTACGGCAACGCTCTCCAGGGCGCTTCATATGGGGGCCACAAAGAGATCGTCCAGATGCTTCTCGACAAGGGAGCAGACGTCAACGCCCAGGGCGGCGAGTACGGCAACGCTCTCCAAGCTGCTTCATTTGGAGGCCACAAGGAGGTCATCCAGATACTCCTCGACAAGGGAGCAGACATTGGAAACGCTCTCCAAGCTGCTTCATACGGAGGCCACAAGGAGATCGTCCAGATGCTTCTCGACAAGGGAGCAGACATCAACGCCCAGGGTGGCAACATCGGCAACGCTCTCCAAGCTGCTTCATTTGGAGGCCACAAGGAGGTCGTCCAGATACTCCTCGACAAGGGAGCACACGTCAACGCCCAGGGCGGCCACTTCGGCAACGCTCTCCAGGGCGCTTCATATGGGGGCCACAAAGAGATCGTCCAGATGCTTCTCGACAAGGGAGCAGAGGTCCACGCCCAGGGCGGCGAGTACGGCAACGCTCTCCAAGCCGCTTCAGACGAAGGTCACAAAGAGATCGTCCAGATGCTCGTCAACAAGGGAGCAGACGTCAATACTCAGGGCGGCCACTTCGGCAGTGCTCTTCAAGCTGCTTCGCTTAGAGGCCACAAGGAGATCGTCCAGATGCTCCTCAACAAGGGAGCAGACATCACGGTCGCTAATGAGGGCGGATGGACACCGTTCTATTCAGCCTCAGGCAGCGGCCATCTCGAGGTTGTCAAACTGCTTCTCGACAAGGGAGCAGACATCACAGTTGCTGATAACGATGGATGGACGCCGCTTCACGCAGCATCAGGCAGCAGCCATCTTGAGGTAGTCAAGCTGCTTCTCGACAAGGGAGCAGACATCACGGTCGCTGACAAAGATGGATGAACGCCGCTTAAAGCAGCCTCAGGTAACGGCCATCTCGAAGTGGTCAAACTGCTTCTTGACAAGGGAGCAGACATCACGGTCGCCACGAAAGACAACCGATCACCCCTCTTATGGGCGGCAAAGAACGGACATGAAGCTGTTGTTAACATGCTGATCGATACAGGTAAGGCCGACGTGGACTTGATAGACACAGAGGGCCGCACAGCACTTTCTTGGGCTGCTATGAAAGGCCAAGAACAGACAGTGTCAATCCTAGTCAAAAACAGCAGGAAAGCCCTCAATTTTCGAGACAACAAAGGCTGCACGCCACTCATGTGGGCACTCAAACGATCCCATCACATGGTGGTGGAAGCACTCAGTCAGGGTGGGTGTTCAGTAGAAGAATCGTGTATAGAACAGTTGGCTTTTCAGGCGTTCAATTCGTTGCCGGCCGCCATGTTAGAGCAGTTCTTTGCCAATATTGGTTATGCTGCTGTGGACGATTTCTTAGGACTTCAGGCACTATTTCATAGGCATTGCGTGCTTTAACCTAAAGCATTTTCCTCGAGACCACAATAGTTATCAAAATGTGTTTCAATGATAAGGGCGGTCTATCCTACGCTATGGATTCATCTTGTCACCCTGTCTGGCCTGCCTTCACCTTCCTAACTGGCAATATCCCAGTCATCAGCCCTCGTCGATTTGACTGTACGATTCGTCCTGCAACATTGCCAAGAGCCCAGCCATCCATTGGTGAAGCCCTCTGCTTTGAAGTAAGAAAAAATGACCAGTATTGGGCTTCCGGGCCTTACCTCAACAGCATGCGGTTCTGAACTATTTGATTTGCATCAGCCTTAATGAAACAGCCATATTGTCGATTGAGCCTGTCGATTTCCTTTCGCCCGTTGGCTTCTGAGCCAGCTTCGGTCGCGAGGTCATTTAGAATCTTGGCACCGAACCCCCGATCTTGGTCCTGCGGCATGGTGCCTGTGACTTCCTCGAAATGTGGTCGAAGCAGGGGATGGAGGTTGGCTGGAAAGTCTGGCTTCTGGGATGGGGTCGTGTCTGGATCCATGACTTGCTTGTAAATCGGCGAGACGTAGACGCGAAGTGGATGTTGCGGGTGAGGCGAACATACTCCGACAATAAAGGCGAAGTCCGACTGTTCATTCGCCATAGACACTCAGCGATACGTTCAGGTGACACGGCCGAAAGCAAACACGGGGATCAGGCAAACAATTCAACATCTGCAGTCACGCGTGAAGCCGTTGAATGAAGGCATGGCGCTGATTGGGCGACCTGTTATCAAGTATACCGCAGTCAAGACGCTACTTCCTCTTGGCTATCTACGCACTTGTCGGTTTCGATTGAGGTTATGCCGCTAACGCTTGCAAACCGACAACACGATTGTCAGCGTTGCGCCAGGAGTTACATCGTCAACGCCGACAGCACTGTGCCACAGGTCCATTGCGTGAGGGACTGGCAACTTAACTCGCACTAACTTTGGAACCTAGGTTAACCAGGCAGTAACTAGTGACCCGGGATAGACCCCACCGGGTTCTAGACCCGAGATAATTCCATGTACCCTGTATTTAGAGTGGGGCTGAAGAGAACCTACCCGTGAGAAAGTTGTAATTAAGCTGAAGTAATTTTAATCAACGTTCGCGTCAAGGAGATCGCCACGCGGCTTGCGCGCTGGACCTCTTTTCCCAGTATGCTTAGTATGTGATACAGAGGTTTTCTTGAAGTCATGTTCCAATCAAGTTTCCAAAACTATCCTCACTCTGTTTACATCCTATGTCTGAAACCCATGCGCAATACTAGCCACAAAGCTGATTACTCTCTAGATCCTATTACACACACCATTCAGCGAAGGGGTTTCATCTGCAAGCTCTGCCATGGCTGCTTCTAGACATGTGTTTACCGTTATCTCTAATAGTGCCACGTTATCATCCACTGTTAGTCTCGACACTGAGTGGCCTCAGTGACCGCTCGTGCAGCCAAGGTACCAGAAAGGCAGGCGGATCTCATTTACCCCACTGAGCAGGCTGCGTACCACCTTCACAACTGAGAAAAGTGCTTTTGTACCGGTCATACCCGATTGTGCCAATCACGCTCAGCCCATGATCAACCTCCGTCGGTGCATGTCGTGCGACTGGGAAGACTCGCTCGTTGGCCAATAGCGGACAGCTCCACCTCTAAGAGAGCTTCCCGCTTTGCCGAAAATAGACAATGTTTGCTCGTTCTGGGCGCTTGCTCTCAGCCGCATCGCCTGAGAGTCGCATCGCTGATTCTTGGTGGAAGCAGCGACGAGCGTAATCACTGGCACCGTTATAAATGGGGTGGTTTCTCGTCGTCGGTCCGTTCACTCTCCGCCTTTTCGTTCCACAACATCAAGACTTTTCAAGCGGCTGACTGTATTCAAGAACACAGACCATATCAGGGACTCAGACGCCGCGGGAATCGACCTCCCTAATTTTGTCTACAAACGCCTCGATGAAGCTAGGAGTAGTCTGCCGTCAGACCAGGACCGTGGATTCGCGATGAATGCGATCACTGTGATCCTCTACTTATTAGATGTGGTCGTCACACCAGCAGAATGGTGCATGACAGACAGTGTCAGAGAAGCCGCAGGGAGGGAGGATGTGAAGCGACTCTGGGAAAAGAATAACCTCTCTGATGTTTCTGACCTGATTTGCCTAACGCATGATCAGGCGCTTTTGAGGTAAGAAGACAACTTCTCCACGCAAATTAACAAATTCTCGCAAGATCTTCGGGCGTTGGTGGAAAGCAGAGGTCACGAATACCAACGAGGTCAGCTTGAACGAGAGAGGCGTCCACTTTATGGAAGCAGTTGCGATTGGGTCTGCTGGGGGGCCATTCATCGATGCTAAAGGCAGTGATGGATTACGCCTGGTCGAACCCAATGTACGAGATGTCTTATGCTGTATGGTGATTCTATTAAACACTTGCACCAGTAGACTTAGGGTTTTAATCGATATGGTCATGGCCTTTACTGGTAAATCCTTCTAGCCGGGCTTAACGACACGGCGATGCTTGTAAAGTCGTGCACGTATCCCATTGGTAGCCTGCCCAAAGCGCGCTCTTCATGGTCACAAGATGCCGCAGCCGCATTATCACAGTTTACCCAGCAAGAGGATCTCTAAATAGACTTAGTAAGGCTATAATTACTTCCTATTTCCTCCGCTTGCAAGAGCCGTGTAGGATCATGTCAAAGGAAGTGAAAACAATGCTTGAAGCCCTAACAAGTCGTGATCTTCGACATAACCAATGCCGGTCAGGAACTGATCCAAATCGTCTGCTGGAGTCAACCAGAACGCCTGAAAAGCCAGGCTGGCTTTCAAAAGGTCTGACATACGGCTCCCGCCCTGAATTAGCAATTTCGCCACACGAAGGTGAGATTTCCGCATAGCCCACATCAGTGGCGTGTAGCCATCCCGGTCTTGTGAATTGATGTCCACAATATTGTTCGCAAGGAGTAAATGCACAATAGCTACATGCCCTTTACTAGCAGCCCATGAAAGCGTTGTACGGCCGTTCTTATCACAAGAATCTGGATCCAAGGTCGCTTGGGACAAAAGCAGACGAACCGCATCCTCGTAGCCCCCTCTCGCGGCCCATATAATTGGTGTGGCACCCTCAACATCCTTGGAATTTGCGTTAACGCCATACGCATGGATCTCATTTGCTGCATTGCCTTTATCATTTGGTACAACAAGTGAATCTGTTGTTTGCTGGTAAATATCCGCGGACTGCCCGTTGTCAGAGGTACCATCTGGCGGCGTCCCTGTGTCGTTGCGCGTTGCTACAACGTCCGTTCGCAAGTCGAGAAAAGTTCTGAGGACAGAGTTTTGACCGTACTCAGCCGCCCACGACAGCGGCGATCGACCGTGCTCGTCTCTCGAATCGACATCGACCTTTCCTGAGTTGATGAGTATGTTAACAACAGCGTTATGACCGTACTCAGCCGCCAACGACAGCGGCGATCGACCGTGCTCGTCTCTCGAATCGACATCGACCTTTACTGAGTTGATGAGTATGTTAACAACAGCGTTATGACCGTACTCAGCCGCCAACGACAGCGGCGATCGACCGTGCTCGTCTCTCGAATCGACATCGACCTTTCCTGAGTTGATGAGCATGTTAACAACAGCGTTATGACCGTACTCAGCCGCCAACGACAGCGGCGATCGACCATGCTCGTCTCTCGAATCGACATCGACCTTTCCTGAGTTGATGATTGTCTCGACAACTGCTTGATGGTCTCCGTATGAAGCAGCTTGGAGAGCGTTGCCAATGTCTGCTCCCTTGTCGAGAAGCATCTGGACGATCTCCTTGTGGCCCCTATCTGAAGCAGCATAAAGAGCGTTGCCGTACCTGCTGCCCTGGGCGTTGACGTCTGCTCCCTTGTTGAGAAGTATTTGGACGATCTCTTTGTGGCCTCCTGATGAAGCGCCTTGGAGAGCGTTACCAAAGTAGCCGCCCTGGGCGTTGACGTCTACTCCCTTGTCGAGAAGCATCTGGACGATCTCCTTGTGGCCCCTATCTGAAGCAGCATAAAGAGCGTTGCCGTGCCTGCTGCCCTGGGCGTTGACGTCTGCTCCCTTGTTGAGAAGTATCTGGACGATCTCTTTGTGGCCTCCTGATGAAGCGCCTTGGAGAGCGTTACCAAAGTAGCCACCCTGGGCGTTGACGTCTGCTCTCTTGTCAAGAAGTATCTGGACGATCTCTTGGTGGCCTCCAAATGAAGCAGCTTGGAGAGCGTTGCCGTACTCGCCGCCCTGGGCCTTGACGTCTGCTCCCTTGTCAAGAAGCAGATGGACGATCTCTTTGTGGCCTCCTGATGAAGCAGCATAGAGAGCGTTGCCATAGATGCCGCCCTGGGCGTTGACGTCTGCTCCCTTGTCGAGAAGCATCTGGACGATCTCTTTGTGGCCCCCATATGAAGCGCCCTGGAGAGCGTTGCCGAAGTGGCCGCCCTGGGCGTTGACGTCTGCTCCCTTGTCGAGGAGTATCTGGACGATCTCCTTGTGGCCTCCGTATGAAGCAGCTTGGAGAGCGTTTCCAATGTCTGCTCCCTTGTCGAGGAGTATCTGGATGACCTCCTTGTGGCCTCCAAATGAAGCAGCTTGGATAGCGTTGCCGTACTCGCCGCCCTGGGCGTGGACGTCTGCTCCCTTGTCGAGAAGCATCTGGACGATCTCTTTGTGACTTCCAAATGAAGCGGCTTGGAGAGCGTTGCCGTAGTGGCCACCCTGGGCGTTGACGTCTGCTCCCTTATTGAGGAGCATCTGGACGATCTCTTTGTGACCTCCGTATGAAGCAGCTTGGAGAGCGTTGCCGTACTCGCCGCCCTGGGCGTTGACGTCTGCTCCCTTGTTAAGAAGTATCTGGACGATCTCTTTGTGACCTCCGTATGAAGCAGCTTGGATAGCGTTGCCGTACTCGCCGCCCTGGGCGTGGACGTCTGCTCCCTTGTCGAGAAGCATCTGGACGATCTCTTTGTGACTTCCAAATGAAGCGGCTTGGAGAGCGTTGCCGTACTCGCCGCCCTGGGCGTTGACGTCTGCTCCCTTGTCGAGAAGCATCTGGACGATCTCTTCGCGACCTCCGTATGAAGCGGCTTGGAGAGCGTTGCCGTACTTGCCGCCCTGGGCGTTGACGTCTGCTCCCTTGTCGAGAAGCATCTGGACGATCTCTTTGTGACTTCCAAATGAAGCGGCTTGGAGAGCGTTGCCGTACTCGCCGCCCTGGGCGTTGACGTCTGCTCCCTTGTTAAGAAGTATCTGGACGATCTCTTTGTGACCTCCCCATGAAGCAGCTTGGAGAGCGTTACCAAAGTGGCCGCCCTGGGCGTTGACGTCTGCTCCCTTGTCGAGAAGCATCTGGACGACCTCCTTGTGGCCTCTATATGAAGCAGCTTGGAGAGCGTTGCCGTACTCGCCGCCCTGGGCGTTGACGTCTGCTCCCTTGTTAAGAAGTATCTGGACGATCTCCTTGTGGCCTCCTGATGAAGCAGCTTGGAGAGCGTTGCCGTACTCGCCGCCCTGGGCGTGGACGTCTGCTCCTTTGTCAAGAAGCATCTGGACGATCTCTTTGCGACCTTCTGATGAAGCGGCTTGGAGAGCGTTGCCGTACTCGCCGCCCTGGGCGTTGACGTATGCGCCGTTTTTCAACAACTCTTCTACTGCACACACGACCCCTCCATATGCCACATAGTATAACACCGGAGCCATGGATTTGTCAAACTCTTCTGGCTCTTCCCATGGCCTATCTGGGTTGAAGAGACCGTAGCACGTTTTGGGAGAATCTTTGTCCAGGCAAAATTCTTTAATGAGATGAAGAACCCTGTTGGTCTCGGCTTGGAGAGCATGGCTCATCCAGTAACGTGCAGCGTACTGTGCGAGTGGATATGACTGTCTAACTCTCAATGGCAGAAGGTCGTGTTCCAGCTCCAAGAGGTACGCAAGACAGACTTCTGCAATAGAGGCTCTGGCTAGTGGCTCTCTGAAGGTTCCGGAGATATTTTGCTCTAGTCGGCCGGATACTAGATATTCTTTAACAGAGAAATGTGCAAGCTGTAGCTCTTTTACCTTATTCCCTTTGACATTACCGCCTCGAGTAACAACAACCACTAAACTTGAACAATAGATAGATATCTCGTCTGGTTGTGGCATCCTATTCTCAGCATCGAACCTGGGCTTGCTTTTGGTGTCTACCGTAATAACGTCGACAGCTTCTTCAATTCGTAGAGGTCGTGCAGAAAAGGCAAGAAACTGTAATAACCGCTTCGCATTTTTCTCGAATTCAGGCGGAATTCTTCGTAGGACTTGGGCATATGTTTCGTCCAGCGTGCTTGGTAACGATTGTAGCGTTTTCCGAAGACTGAGCGGATCAGGGCATTTTGCGAGAGCGTCAAGCTGGCATGAAACCCAGCGGAACCTGTGATGTAACTTAGCAACAGATGTTGAAGAGATTGATTTTGCCTTACATCCCGTTAGCTTTCTCCATCAGGTGGCTTTCGATCTCATTTAGGATTGTTTCACGCGTTCGCCACCTTTCAAATCCTTCGTGCTGTCTCACTGTTCCATGAACATACGCACGTATATCTTCTGTAACAAGGTCGCTCTGGAGAGGGATCTGGTTATTGATACATCTTTCCAACACTGATTTGATATCGTGTTCAGGGCGACTCGTGACAAGAAGGTGCGCATTGACTTGCGGTGAGTTTAAAAGACTCTCAATCCAGTGTAACAAACTTTCGTTCTTTGGGCCTATTCTCGTCTGGCATTCATCGAGTGCATCCAGGACGATCCATACTTCGCTGATCTGTTGTGCCATGGCCTCGAATGTCGAGATCAGTAAGTCCACACTTGGCTGTCGTGAAGCATTTTTGCACGAGGAGTAAAGCGAATCCAGATGCGTCTGGACGTCGTGACTTTTGTGGTATAGCTGAGCAATAAGGGACCGAAGTGCTTTCTCGAGCGACTGTTTGCTAGTGTCGGTGAAGTCGAAGTAAAAGTAGACAAGGCTCTTGGAGCAAGACTTGGTGCTGCTGAGGTCCTTGATAACCGTTGAACTTAGGACAGTCTTGCCGCAGCCCGGGATGCCGTGAAGCCATAAGGAAGACTTCGGCGTGTTTTTCCACTTCGAGTATTCCTCGCTGTCGAGCAACCACTGGCCTGTTCCTTCGTGACGTTGCTGCAATGCCTTGTTGTCATTAGTTGATGGATCTGGCGGAGCGAGCCATTTCATGACCTCCTGGAAATGTTGGCTTTGTTGCATCCTGTTTGTGGTTGAGCTGACTTGAGACATATCTTTACGTACTGCAAAACGAATGTAAGTAATTTAATCTGAACTAGAGTCATAGAATACTAACGATGTTCCATAATTTCGTCGATTCTTGAGGAGCCCTCTACATCCTCCCTGTCGATAACTTCAAGCAGCTCCTTTGCAAATGCGGCCGCGGTTGCTGTGGAATAGTTTTGCCACTGGTCGTTCTTGTGGGTGTCTGCATAGTCGCAGATCCCTCTGATTACGAGACAGGGAAAGTTATCCATCAGACCAGCCGCCTCCATCTCGAAGCAGATGCACTTGTCCCCAAGTCGCTGTACAATGTCGTCCCGAGAGATCCCATCCTTTACGACGGAGTTGCCTGAAGCAATGACGCCATAGTGAACTACGGGATCGGTGGATCGTCGATGTCGTCGCCCAATTTCTTTCCCTGTGTCGCAATGCTCGCAAGATTTCGTCTGGCTGGCCTCTTGACAACTTGCATCTTCGGATGGGATGCTCCTTGTCGCCTCGTTCGTACTGGCAGGCGTCCTCACAGAGGCATAGACAAGCCAAAATAAGGACCAAACCCATACCAGTGCCAGCTGAAAATAGTGCGTACTGACGTTATATGGAACAGCTCCTGCCAAAGACACTGCGCTTTGTGGATCCGGGCGTTGGATGTGTATAGAGGATGCTTCGAATAGCCGGTCGTTGTGCGCCCCTTGGTAGACGAACGCAGCGTCACCTGGTTCTGCTTCTGCTAGTAGGGGATGACGCTGGAGCATATCGTCTAGGATGCTGCGTACTCGAGGTCCTTTGAGCCGTCGTTTGGCTTTCAGTGCCGCCAATCCTTTGAGAAGGACCTCGGGCGGAGACGCGAGAGAACCGACACGTGTGAACTGGCCGTCGTTTCCCAGCTTCCCTAGATCGTACTGCACGACTCCCGGACTGGTACCAGTCGGCTGGCTAACGACAACGTCGCCGAGGCGGATGTCGATGTTGTCAGCCAGCCTGGGGATGCCAGCGCCAATGCCGACCATGAGGCCGAACCGAAGATGCGGAAGAGAGCTGGTCATGCTCCACGCTGTCGTCGCTGCGGACACAGTGCCGTACTTTCCAGCGGCTAGCGAGGCGATGACAACATTGTGGTCCCCAATCCGACCCCAGACATAGCTGTTTGTGTCTTTCGGGTGCTTTCTGAAGTTTTCCGGCTTCTGGTGCTCTTCGTCGAGCACGGCCTCTGCCGCGGTCAGCTCCTTGTCAAGAGCGGTGATCCACCCGATGGTGTACAACTGAGGGCTTGGAAGTCGCTTTAAGGATGTCATAGCGCTTTCATAGGGCTGAGAGAGGTCTGAGTCGGTGAGGGTTCATGGAAGGATACATGGCGATGCTCCTGTTGAACACGTCCCGAAAGCGATCAAAATAAGCCCTTGAACACAGCCTTGCGCTGAGGATAGCTGACTGGATGACCGATGCAGTTGAGCGATGCAGTGGCTGACGATTCGATAGCACCAACGAGTGGATGCTGACCCCTCTCCCGATGATTGGCAGTAACAGCAGAAAAAGATGGGTCTCGGGGGCCTAGCCTGATGGAGACCGCGTAGAACAATGGCCACGCGCCAACACAGTCGGGTGGCGGCGTGCGACCGCACAGCACGCCCGGATATCTTTCAGAGAAAGATGAGCCTGGTAAGCCTACTGGCCATGGTCCGTGGGTGGACGGTTTTGCTATGGACTTTGGTATCTCCTCTCAGTATCTAGTCAGGGAGCATCAGTAAGAGCATTGCTTATCAGTAAACAGCCGCTGCAGGCTATGTACTCTACTAAGATAACGCCCATCATGTCCATTGTAGAGCCTTATCACGCCAACAAATGATAGGCGTTAAGGTAGGTGTGGTGTAAGTCATGTAACCACCAATAATGCCCAGCGGCGCTCTAGGAAGGACGAGAAGCATAGGGGTTCTAGAGAGAGGCGAGGTGCAAGTCTCTAAAAATAAGGCGCCTGCGGTGCTGTCAGCCAGTGGGCCACCCTCCATACAATTAGCCAATATCGCGCCATCCGGGTCGGATGCAGGCACTTCGAGCATCGTCGAATCACGCATGGCGGCCAAGCCAGTTAGGACCAAAAAGAACCAATAATCGGTAAGTTATTCTCTTGATAATGCTTATGCAGGCAAGACCCCACAACTTGATGTACGCTTATTGGTAGCTCGCTCACCGAAGGACGAAAAGACCGATGCCGCCCAAGAAGTCATGCAAGCCCGGAGCGAATCTGCCTTGCTGCCTCGTCGCCTCTGCGGCCAGCAGCCGGCCCGAGGCGGCCTTTTCGTTGGCCTTTAAATCAAACGGCCGCATACTAAATAGCCCGAACGGGTTGCCTCTTCCGCGCGATCCTCATCCCTTACAGCACCCCCACGCGCAGTGCACTTTCCAGGCAACGAGGCTGACACCAGCAATTGCCTTCGCACTCCCCTATTTGATATTTCACCAACGGATTTGAGAGCTTCCTCTTCCGGTTGTCACACAGATGTAGCGAGGAAATTTGTTGAAACTTGGTTAGCATATTTGCCGCTCGAACTCAGGCTCACCTCAGTGTGGGTCTTCAGGTACCTCAGTCACGAGACTGAGCAGCTCAGGTCCCCACTTAAGCACAAGCGGGACATTCATAATGCGAGATTGATGTAGGATTCGATATTGTGCATCTGACGTAAATGCAGGGTGTCATCTTCCATTCCATATGTGAATGCGGCGATATGCACTTATGCAATTAACGCAAGTTATCATTGCATTTCTCTTCCATGCCTAACTTTCGACTTTCCTTCTGTTAATGAGTACATGTCTGCTGCCCTTTCCCTCGCGCTAGTTAGCTACCGCCTCTGCCTTGCGTTATCCTAGCGACGCAATTGCACCTTGCAGATAGGATACTCCTTTACCTGGTGTCAAAAACGACCCATACACATCACATGACACAGCACAAATGGGCGAACCGGCACCTCCAAACAAAGGGGGCATCCATGTTTAAAGACCTTGAATACCTATTGTGGTCCTAAGTGCTGGTGACGAGGACACTCCTTGCACGGGTGTTGCTGAGGAAATGCAGGGAGGTTTCCCAAGGGGGTTCCTGTAGGCGAGTGCGACGCGAGTCGCAAATGGCAATATTGTGTTGGTTCATGCACATCTCCGTAGAGATAATCAGTAATTTACAGAATCGTAGAGAACCGTCCAAATCAGTTTGGATGCTTTGACACATGACACCTTCCTAGGAAGTTGTCACCCCTTTTTGGTAACCGTAACCTACCTGTGAGTTACGGTTTCGTTGCCTTACATACCCCGTGTCTTTACCGTTAACATGATTTCTCAGCATAATGGTGGTATTATACCTTCCTAGGAATTTATCCCCCCTTTTTAGCAACCGTAAGTTACTGATGAGTTACCGTTTTGTAACCGAAAGAGCCCTTCTACTACACCGTCACGTCTTTGTTAACACAATAGTAGCATAGCGACTTCCTAGGAAGTTATCACCCCCCTATTTGGTAACCGAAACTGCCTATGAGTCCTTGGCCTGAAAAGCGACACCAGTGGCCTAATTTGATTGTAAAAAGTTGTTGCTTGCCCTATTAGATATGCTAACTTCATGCCGACAGATCGAAATCTGCTGTTATTTCTTTAACATTTAAATGCTTTCATGTTCTTACCACGAGCAAGAGGTCGTGCATAGCTGCAGATGCGCCTTGTCTAATGCTGGGTAGTGACCGCCTAGCAGTCCCCCTTGCTTGATCCCTATGCTTTGACTCTATTGCTCGAAGCGTGTCTTGGTGGCATCGAACAAGGTGTATTGCACGTTTTTGTCAATCCGGACTGAACGGTACGATTCTACCTTGTTGACGGCCTGTAGTCAGGAGCTGAAGAGACCAGGGAGCCCAATGACGCCGACGGCGAAGCCAGCAAGTATCTTTGCGGTGTTTTGTGATGTGCTAGATAGTGTCAAGAAGGATCACCTCTCTCGGCATTCCTAGACCAGGTCCTGTATTTACACTTTAGACAGTTGGCCGGGTCGCTTATGAGGCGGTGAATGCAGGAGTTCGCGCGGTTCACCTACTCGCGCTGCTCCCGCCAAGGCTCCCTAGTCCAGGCAAATGCACATTGGCCTGTACGGCGAAGAGCGGGGCGAGGCATTACGGCTGGTGTATTGTACTGTGAGGAGTAGCGGGGAGACACGCAAAGGGGGCTGAATAAGGGATCAGACTGCGAAATAGAACACTGTTGTATTTATGGCGAATTCAGACAATATGGGATAGCTCTTAGATATGGTGCTGCTGGCGAGTAAGAGCTGATGGCTTAAACAATTTTATGAGGGTTGCCAAGGCTCACCAGATGGACCTGGAAAGGGTGCCGTGGGCAGCGATGGTCCCAAGAGCAATATTTAGGGACATTGTAAGAGGGCAATAAGGTTGACATGTCGGACCGAACCGATCTCTTCCAATTTTATTCAAAGCTGATCTATAAAAAGCCGAAACCATTGATTGTTGCTCTTACCAGGACTAGCCTTTTCGGGGTCGGGCAAGTTTCCGATCGCTCCCTCACAGCCCCAAAGCCTTGCAGTAGTAGGCTGGGTTCGAAGGCACGACGCCTTTGCCTGCTCTCAAAAGATAGGTGAGCCAGCCGTTACGAACGACCTGTAACTGTACCAGTGCATGCTTCCTTGGCAGACCTTGGTGTTTTATCTCAGCGTCGTAGTAAAGGAAAAGCAGCCGGCGTATAATTTAAGCATGAAACAGCTATAGGCTATAGTATTCACCAACCGGGAAGATGGTCATTTGCCATTGAGCCTACCGTAGCAGGCCTACTAACTGACTGCAACTGGGACCCTGTTGAAGAGACTTCCAGCTCTTCAGTCTCCAGACCACCCATGGGCCGCTCCCTGGTCGCTTTCGAACCAAATCACCATACTGGAGCTGTATGTGTAGATACCCTTTAGGACGCAACCAGATATACCACGTTGCGTGGCACATTTACAATGTCAGCACCCGTGGAACCCTGGGTACCGGCCTTCACTGCATTTTAGACCTCACCAGAGCCGGTGAAAACATACTTGTTAGTTTGCGGGAATAGCAGTCACCGATTCGCAGCTCAACCTCTCGTTTTGGGCCCACTGGAACATGGTACCACGCTGTTTCGCATGTGCATCCTGTCACTGCCAATGACGACGCACCTTAACAAAGCGCCATACATATTCGATTTCGGCTCGCCATTCCGTCTACGTTCCTTCCAATCATACTACCATTTAGCGGGGCAGGCCCTGTTGATTGCGTATGGTTCAACTAGCCGATCACAACTTGACAAGATGAACTGACGTTCTTCAATGTGAGATGGGTCGGGACACCTATCCACAACATGGATTACCGTAGTAAGGGGATGATTACGGGTTTTGGGGATCTGATGGTCGATCGATGCGATGAGGAACTTCATCCATTATCTAGCCATGTACTAGTCGATGTAGCTAACAAAGGCATACATCTACTCATTTCTGAAGGAACAATAAGCTTTTTCTAGCTTGTGGAATGTATTGCCAATAGTATCACACGTCCGATTCTCACTAACAGACGTGATCGGAAGCAATTGAATTGATTCACTTGTCAAGAACACCCTCACTTTGCTTTGATGCTTGTCGTAGCGCCAGAACTTCCGTCGTGGTGTCCTCTGCCTCGTCATACCTCCCCTGGGCGTGGTATGTTGATGCGAGTGAGGCCATGCTCTCGATCGTGTCGGGGTGCCTCTTGCCAAGAACCTCCTGGCGTAGCTCAAGCGCTTCTATCTTAATCTTCTCTGCCTCGTCATACCTCCCCTGGGCGTGGTATGTTGATGCGAGTTCAGCCATGCTGTCGATCGTGTCGGGGTGCCTCTTGCCAAGAACCTCCTGGCGTAGCTCAAGCACTTCTACTGAGATCTTCTCATCCTCGTCATACCTCCCCTGGGCGTGGTATGTTGATGCGAGTGAGGCCATGCTCTCGATCGTGTCGGGGTGCCTCTTGCCAAGAACCTCCTGGCGTAGCTCAAGCACTTCTGTATAAATCTTCTCTGCCTCGTCATACCTCCCCTGGGCGTGGTATGTTGTTGCGAGTGAGGCCATGCTGTCGATCGTGTCGGGGTGCCTCTTGCCAAGAACCTCCTGGCGTAGCTCAAGCACTTCTGTATAAATCTTCTCTGCCTCGTCATACCTCCCCTGGGCGTGGTATGTTGTTGCGAGTGAGGCCATGCTGTCGATCGTGTCGGGGTGCCTCTTACCTAGGATTCTCTGCCGTATTGAAAATGCCTTCCTATCTACTGGTTCCTTCTCATTCCAACGTCCGCGGTCGAACAGATAGTCCGACACACGGCTCAGAAGGTTCGCAATATCTTCGCCTGCGCCCGCCTCGCATACTTCAGCCCACTCACTACATTGCAATGCATGAGGAAGCCACAGCTCGGTTTCTTCCCATGCACCTCGCGTTCTCCGCGGGAAGAGATCTGACACAAGAGTGAGTGCTGCCATAGAAAACTGCGCTGCATCCTGTCGGCGTCTTTTCTGGCTCATGCTATATCGAGCTGCATCCTGAACGAGCTTGTGCATCTCGTATGTCTGCCCGATTGACTGGTTTTTCCGCATGGATAAGAAGGAAAACTCTCTCAGGCGAGCCAAGGCAGTAGTGACAGCCTCGTTTTCATCATCTGATTCATCCTCACTCTCCGTGATCGTACTGGTACTACTCTGACTTTGTCCGTCGCCAACACCTGCTTGCGCTGCTGCCTTGATAAAACTTTCCGGAATGTTTTGATTGTGGACATACGCAAGGGTGAGAAGGAGCCGGTATGCCGTATCATCCTCTTGCCTTATGTGCTCCATCGATATTTGCCAAGTCTCCAGGATGCTGTTCGGGACTTCGCGTCGACGGTGACGGTCATGTTCTGACTTCTGCAGAATTCTCCACCTCTTTTTCCCTTCCTCGAGCCTCGACAAGTACTTCGCTACTGGCGTGGATGTTCGGCGGATGTTGTTACCTTGGAAATCCGGGACCAACAAATCGCCTTTCGACGCCGCTGCAATTGCCTCTGGAGAGCCTTCTTATTATTATTATGGAGTCACTATCCCCAGTCACACAGCGAGCACCTTACTTCGCCATGTATCCTGTCCGTTGGATCTTGTTCCGGCTCCTAGCCTACGTCACTCTAGGTTAGGCTCTGAAAATCCACTTTGATAGCGATTGTGCACATGGCGAGCAGGAATGAAGCTAGAGAGCCGCCTTTTTTGCTCCCCATTCCACCAGTTTTGGCGGTGTCCGCTAGCTTCCGCCATGAGCCGAGCCACAGGACTTGACGACAATGCTTGCGAGCAGGCAAAATATATCGCTGTACTTGAAATTCCCATTTCCGGCCCTGCTCGACAGCTTGAGCATATTATCAAGCTCCACAAACAAAGGTTTACGAAGTGGCTTCTTTCGGCAGTGACACCATGTGAAGCGGGTTCACACCTTTGGCGCGTCCGTTTGTAGGGGAAGAGACGTATGCCCAGGACCGAGTGGCCCTCAAACATGCCGCAATGATCATTGGGTCACAGTTACACTGTCCAGAAGCATCTTGAGCTCAAAGCTTCACTCAGTAGTCTCACATGATGTCAAAGAGTGTGTCGCATTACTGATGAGTGAATGATAGAGGCCGCTCGCTAATGGGCAACCTCTTGGCTTGATTCTGCTGTTTTTTGTCGGCCGTCTTTTCTGCATCAAGAAGGCTGGCCTCGAGATATGTGAGAGCGTACGACTCAACTCTGGGTCGGAGTAGAGACAATCTAAGAGACAATCGTGCTCATGTGCTGTGTAAGGACCAAGGACCAAGGACATCGACTAAAACAGCCACGTATCAATGATACTATCGACAGCAAGGATGCAGGGAGCAATCTAACACCTGCTGAAACTTGGAAAGCACCGCCCCTGACTAAGTATCCGAACCTTGGTCTATCACTCGTGCCCATCTGATGATAAAACTTTGTGCTTCAATCCCGCGACGGCTCCAGGCCATCGATGTGCCGACAAGGCGCCACCATCGATGACTAGGTCCGCTCCAGTGACAAACCCTGTGTCCGGCCCGGCCAGAAACGCAACGATCCCGGCGATCTCATCAGACGTCCCCGTCCTGCCAAGCGGAGTATTGTTGATCATGCTTTGCGCAAAGGGTCCCTGCTCCGATCGCAGAACTTGACCAAGCATAGGCGTCTCGATGGCCCCGGGGCTAACGGTGTTGATTCGCACTCCTTTGCGTCCCCACTCAGCAGCCTTGTACTGAGCACGGACGATGCAACCAAGCTTCGAGACACCATAAGCGTGGCTAGAGTCGGTATCGTGGTCCAGTTCGTGGTGCGTGATGAGGGAAGCTGTCGGGGCTGTTGCCAGATGAGTCTCCAAGCCCGGGTTGGGAGGGAGCAGGTGACCGGCAACCGAGGCTATGATGGTCAGGGAGCTTCCAGGAGGCATCAGGGGAAGAAAGCTGTCAAGAACGAGAGCGGTGCCAGTAAGGTTAGTGGCGTAGATCAGCTGGGTGTCGTTTGCGGCGCTGGATACACCGGCCGTAAGAATGACGGTCTTGATAGGACCGAGCTCGGCGGCTGTCTTCGCGAAGGAGGCGACCGATGTCTCGGAGGAAACATCGATATTCTTTGTTGTTATGAGATGGCCGGCGGGGTCGAGCGAGCCCTTGGCTTCGGACAGAGCAGCGGGCGAATAGTCTCCAACAAGGATATGGTGCGATGAGCCAAGTCGACGGGCGATGCAAAGTCCCATGCTGCCAGCCCCAATTACGACGAGTAGGGGGCGTGGCTGTGCCATGACGTTGGTAAGTAGGAAGTAATGCGAGAGTTTCAGTAGCTGTCGGTTAGAGATAGCATCGGTTCAACTGACACTCTGTAGGTAACGGCTCGACCCTCGCTTGAGGGGAAACTGAGCGCTGGGTGAGATCTTAGGCGTTACTTATACTGTGTTGATTCTCGTTGAAGCAGAAACAGGAGTGCTGCAAAAAAGCCATATTCTGCTGTTGATCACTTAAATGCTCCAGCCCTGACATGCTCACGCAGGGGGATCCAGAGGTGGAGGCAGCTCCGTTAATAGCCCAGCGTACAGTGACACACAACGGGGCGAGTCCCAGTATCAGCCTATCAGACGAGATACAGGCCTGTTTACGTCAGTTCTTGAGTTCTCACAGCCATTAGAGACAGGAACCCCAAATGGAACGCCTGTGTGATACATTCATAGCCGCTTCTTCGTTGTGTACGTTGGGACTGAGATGATTCTGGCTCCTATACCTTACTAAGAGAGTGACCTCGTCAGTTCCCACCTCACTGTACCGCAATCTCCTTCGCCACTCTTAGCATCGTTCCCAAACTTGACATCTGTTGTTTCACACAGAATGCAAATTTGCCAGGTAACGCGTAAGAGACCATACCACTTGATCACTAAAGCTACTAATCGCGGTGCTGTTGTTACAGTAACTCGGAGTACAGAGAATATATCGTGCTTTGAAGTTAGTAATAGCTGCAAGAACCGGCGCGGTAGCGGGGCACTTTTTTACGATCATAACCTATATCTTTCAACATTCTGCAAGTTGGATTTTCCAAGCGAATTATCCCACTTTACGCCTAGCTTGACATGCTATCTCTCGAAGACCTTCGGGTCATTCTTTCTGTGTTGAGGGAAAACTATTGGCCTTACGTCGCTCGCGTACTCGAGAATTCAGCTAGTAGTCCCCTATTCGACCTTGTTAACCCCAACTACCTTACTCTCCCAAGATCCTTCAAAGACCTGCAACAGCGCATCAGGCATAATTTCATTCGATTTCACGCCGCCTACATCGTTATCATTATTTTTGGTCTCCTTGCCAAGCACTGGCATGTAGCTGCTGCTGCGATAATGATCCACAAGCTAAGCGCTTTTGTGACCGATTCTGGTCGCGGAGACGCTTCTCTGCGGTCTGACACTGATCGGAGTGGAATTCCTAGATATGCACATAACTTAATGCGTGGTATCTGGCTTTCTTCAGGCCTGTGGTGCTTTTGGTCACTGTACAGCATGATGGCTACCATGCTGCAATTTGCGATGGTATTTACGGTTCACGCGGCGATGCTGGACTCGAAGGCAAGGCTGGTGGAGAAGCAGTCTTGACGAGAGCGGCTGTCGATAAGGTCGGTTCATAGGCACACATGTCGGTCTGAATCAGAGGCTCTTGCAATGCCTTCGCTACGGATCATGAGCTGGTGAGTAAGTCAGTCCAAAGTTGATTCTGTCAGGACCAACTAACGGTGTCTGATCACAGCAACGTTGTGCCCTCGTCCAGGCTCATACGTCTCGAGTCACACTTCAAAAAGCCTGCACCGCGGTAGCTCAACTGTATGAATTCCTAATGGGGACTTTGTTCATGGAAACAGGGAACAGATGCTAGACGTTTGCACCAGCGGGCTACTGTTATCTTCAAATTTACCCTTACTAGAACCCCGGAATCCAAGCCTCCTCTCGGATTGGTTGTTGACATACTCTCTTGGCACGATATGGATCTGTGTGCACACCCTCGTCGTGATTGATGCCTGGGGCCCATGGGTCGCTGAATAGTTGGTTCAGCGTTAGCGTAGAAGTCTTGGCCATAGGGGGGGGGGTTTACTTGAAGGGCCACGCACTGTTTCTCCCGGACCACGCGATCGCGGTTTATGAGACTGAGAGCTCTTCGGGTCAGGCTCGGGAGAATCTCCTGGTAGAATCTAGATGGCGTAAATCTTGACGAGAACTCGGAAACTCTCGATATCCATCATGCAATGGCTCACTTCTACGTCGTGATAATGACTACCCCACCAGCACCTTCTTTCGAAACGTCAAGGCCCAGCCTCTCACAAACGGTGATTTGCGTTGATTTTCTTTGCCATGAGTCACCCATGCAGCCGGTTTCAGCCTTGTAAGCGTCTCCGAACCTGACGAAGGTGATTACCCTTCAATCTTTGCAGAGGCCCCATAGTTAGTTGCAAGGTAGTGTGGTAATAATGCAGTACACTGATCCCCTTTACCTAGCTGATCCAACGACCAACTCGACACCTGCGCCACCCGTGCCCGGATATAAAAAGAGTGTGAATTTCAGATCAGACGTGACTGAAAGTTCTCTTTGGAATATCTCAGTTCTTCTACTGCTTTTGAACATGACGATGCACCCTCCGAGTCGACTGCGCCATCCCCAGTGGCTGTGGACGAGCCAGAGGCAACGCAACCTACCCACGTGTTTTCGACCTCCTTTACGGAACAAACGCCTCCTGCAACTCCACCTAGAGTAAGATCTCTCTTGTCAAATGTCGCATCGGTAGCACTGATAGAAAACCTACCTAGGTAGATTTGCAAGACAACGAATTCGATTCAGGCCTCGATGACGAACAAGGCTCAACCAAGTCGATGACGTCCAGCATTTTGGATTATGAAGACTGTCATGGCAGGATTTATCACAGCGATCGGTTTGGTTCTACTTACTGGTACGTGGAGCTAAACGGCACGAAACAACTGAGTACTGACGCTTTCCTTAGGGCTCCGCATGACGGACCGCAGCGTGACGCAATGGAAGTTTGGTGAGAATGGCCAGACATGAAACCAAAAAGCAAGCTTGTTACTAACGAGGTTCTGTCAGCCACGCTCTCTTTTGTCAAGCTTCTGGTGGCAGACTTTTCCATGCCGAACTCCCGAAGAATGCTCAGGTATTTCTGCTGCAACCAGGTCACCTTGCATATATGCTTACATTGTCACAGAAGATTTTAGACGTTGGAACGGGAACAGGCACCTGGGCTATGTATGGCCGTCTCAAGCGATGATTGTGCAAAAGCGTTGCTAACATCAGCACCTCAGTGAAGTTGGTGAAACCTACCCGCACGTCGTCGTGATTGGAATCGACCTGTCACCAATTCAGCCTGTATATGTTCCATCGAATGTACATTTGTCGGTTCAGCCTATTTTTCAATTTCTCCATCTCCACTTTGCCTGCCGCTTGCGTAGGTAAGTTGAAACTGACTCGTCTTCTAGCCATATTGACGACTTCAACGAACGATGGACATTCGACGACAACTCCCTCGACTACGTTCACATGCGATTCCTCACCGGCTCTGTTCTTAATTGGAAATCCACGATGAAGGAGGCTTACCGATGTTTACGACCAGGCGGGGTTCTTGAGAGCTCGGAGCCATCGTTTCTGATCGAGAGTGACGACGGCACAGTGAACGAAAGAAGTGCCTGGTATCAATGGTTTGGAATATTCGACCAGTATGGCGAACAAACTGGCCCAACATTTTCTGTAGTGCGGCACGGCATACAGAGACAGGCCATAGAGGAGGCAGGCTTCATCGACGTCCAGGAGTTTAGCTGCAAGGTAGGCATTGCGACATTGCAATTTCGCAGGCGAAGTCTGACAATGGATCTCAGATACCGATCGGAGCATGGCCGGAAGATGTAAAGAAAAGACAGCTGGGCCAGTATGCGCAAGCAGTAATGGAGAAGGACGCCTTGGGGTTTGTTGTGCGCCCAGGCACCTCGGCTGGTTGGAGTATTGAACAAATCGAGGATTACAATACAGCTCTGCAAGCGGAAATGGCCTCGAAAACAACGCACCCGTGGTATTGGTTCAAGAAGGTATGGGGACGTAAGATGCCTACATCTTCAGTAGTAGCATAGGGTTGGAATGGATAGCCTGAAGGCTTCGTCGATAGAGGAAGGAACATTAGGCAGGGCCCACCAACAAAAGTCGATAGTCTTCGCCGGTCTTCGCCCTTTCCACACTGTGGCCGTATATTGTGCAACCCACTCAAACTTTGCGTTCATCGAAAGCCAAATTGTCATACAGCTTGAACGAGGGCTGACGTGCTGTCTGGGAACTGCATCAAACAGTAATTCATGCCACTGCGCACGAGGAGTTGCTAAAAGAAGATTGATTATGCTCAGCTTTGTTGATGACAGGGGGTAAAACCTGGCCACAAGCAAAGATTTGATGCCTGCATGGTACGTACATATGTATATTCCCCCTTGTTCGCAAGCAGTCAGGGCTGGGGATCCACGATTTCCTCTGGGAGCCACAAGTTGATCACCACGGCGAAGCAATTGCTGCACTCGGTATTCGCGCCGAAGTCATTTTGGGCTCCCGAAAAGCAGAAAACCACGTATCTACTAACAGCCGGACCCACACCGCTAAGTGAGTGTTGTGACGCGCGGCTCCCAGTCGGTCTAGGTAAGTATACGGCGGGTTTTGGTTCTACACCAAGAGAAAACAGTGCCACTTAGACTTCGGGCTGTCTTCCCTGCATCTACAGTACGGTACAGTACAAAGGGCGTTCGTAGTCAAGTACGTCGTCTTCAAAGACCGTCTTGCCGCAAGTCAGGCAGACACATAATCTTGCGCATACTGAACTTCGGCGTTCAATCAACTTCCAGACCGTGTGCCTTTGTCGCCGCATTCGTCACTTTCCTTTACGTCGAACCACCTTCTAGACGCAGCAATGGATGCCTTTAGGTCACTTGAGAACTGCCACGACCTTCGACAGCTGGCAACGAACCTGCTTGGAGCAATCACGGAGTATACGCTCCGTGGCAACATGGGCCAAGCACAGGAGGCTTCCCTCCAGTCCAGGATTCTCAACCTGACAGGAAACATTCGCAACCTTGTGGCACAGCCCCAGGACCAGTGGCTGTTGCACATCGTCCAAAGCAACGAGATGGCTGCCATCAAGCTCTTCGTTCACTGGCACGTCTTTGAACACATTCCAATCGAACAATCCATATCCTACGCACAGCTGAGCGACAAGGCGAGCGTCGATCTTTCTCTTCTCAGTAAGTGACACCGCCTAGCCTCAACGCTCTGCAAAACTGTTGTTGACCTCTCAGTGCGGGTCTCACGTATGCTCATTTCCACCGGTGTCCTGGGAGAAGCCGGGCCTGATCGAGTTGCGCACACTGCAAAGTCCAAGATCTTCCTTCACGGTAACCCATACGGGGACTTGGACCAAGTCGTGTATGAATCTTTTCAATGGCGATGCTGGCTTTGACTAACTTTTCTAGGATGGAGTACGGATTGTCTGGTTGCGACATGATCCGGTACTTTGAAAGCAACGGGCGAAACGAGCCGGACGGCCTCAGCCCTAGCCCATTTACCTTCACGAAGGGGATGCAGGGAAGTGACATGTGGGGCATTTACAATGATCAGGGCAAAAAGGAGGAGTTCATGCGGGCAATGACGGCGTTAGACCGCTTGGCGCCGATCATCGGCGTGTATGACTTCTCGTGGATTGCCGAAGCATCGGCCAAGGCCGACAACGACAGAGTACTGTTGGTCGATGTCGGTGGTGGCAGCGGTCATGCGGTTCAGGCCATCTGCGGGAGCATTGGTCTGCCGTTGGAGCGTTGTGTGCTGCAGGACAAAGAGCCTGTCATTTCGAGGGTCGAAGGAGTGGGTAATCTACCGGGATTGAAACTAATGTCTATCGACATGCACAAGGAGCAGCCGGTCCAAGGTATGTTGGCATTCTGGCCTCGACAGCGCTGTGGGAACTAACACGTAATAAGGGGCCCTGGTTTACTACATTCGCCATTGTCTTCATGACTATAACGACCACATTGCCCGAGGTATCCTACAGCATATCTCCAAGGCCATGGCGGCAGATAGTACCCTGCTGATAGCCGAACACGTCGTCGAGTGGCCTCCGAAGCCCGAGTCTACTGCCATGGACATGCTCATGCTAGCTGTCGGTGGGAAGGAGCGGACCGCGATGGAGTGGGCTCATCTTCTGCGAAGTGGGGGGCTGACGCTGGAACGCATCCATCGGAACCCCACCTCATCACATTGTATCATTCAGTGCAGCAAGGCCACAATTGTGGCTGGTCAGGACCAGTTGGCAATTGAAGCTTAGCATGATTTCATGGCCTAGTTTAAGGGTTCCCATGAGACGCAGCTAGTATCGGCATGGCGGAGTGGAGCGTGAAAAGAACGTTGCTAAGCAAGCGTTCCAAGTACTCAACCTGATTGTAACCATCTATTCAATGTACTTTTTGAGACGGACGCAGCCTCTGTGAACTTGTTACCGTTTGATGACCGGGCGATTGCACATGTCTGGACGCTCCTATTTGCTTGATCCAACCATGCTTCCAATAGAAGAGTGTGCAGATTACCATTGGCAGAGGTTCACAACAAGTAGTTGAAGATTGAGTATAGTGGAACTCTTTAGTCATGATTGGAGCCTGAATTGAAGCCAGATCGGAGCCAATACTTGATGTTGAGACGCTTACTAAGGTTAAAACTCACGTAGCATTCTGCATCCATTCCTCTTGTTGTGCACGTTGAGAGTGGCACAGTGCTCAGCCACAAAATGCATATCGGGATGCAGGTTCGGGTGGCTTGCTCCTGAAACGGCTCCGAGAGAAAATAAATATGTCTGAGAATCTGCCTGTCCGTACTCACTTTACAGTAACTACTGCACTGTATTGTCACAGCGAGAGGAAACGAAAACAATCATGCCGACCAGTAATGAGCTAAGAAAACGACCGACACAGCTCACTATCTCCAGGTATGACCAGATGGTCTTGGAAAACGACAAAGATATCGACTGGTGGTGGTCGCTGCTCGCCAAGATCTTTTCATGGTTGTTGCTCGCGGGCTACATCGTCTTCCCTTCCACGTTTGCATCCTTGCGGCGATCGAGGGCGCTCGAGAGCATGGGTGTGGTCGGGTACATAGTGTCGAGGGGACTGAATGATTTTCTCATCTCTCTTGCGTCCATACTCTCAGGAAGTGCGTCTATCGGTCTTGCCTGGTTATGGTTCAAGTGGCGCACGAACTATCATTTGGGTAAACCAGCAAATCATTATGTGAGTCCTGCGGCCCACGTTTTACACGTCGCTTACAATCAGTCCTACGCTGGTGAATTCCCTGATGGGGTTCTTTTCGACTCTGCTCAATCTCTATACCGTCCACGGCGGCGAGTGGTCCACAACGGCGATCGTCACAGCAACGGTAACGGCTTGGTGGCTATTCGTATCGTGCATTTTATGCCTCATTTACCGATACCTGCTCAACCGGCTACAATGTATCGAAGTGAACGACGTAGATCAATCGACACTTCCAGATAAGATTTGATGGCTCTGGTAATATAGACTTCTGGACTTCCTTCAATTTGACATGCTGCTAGCTACTGATCGGTGTTAGACAGGTGGCTTCCCGTTAGCTTTAGCGACTAGTTATCAACTTTCGATCCAAGGTTGATCGGTCGTATCCACCCTCAGAAGTAACCATCAAGTTACATGATCACTGCTCTTTCCTTTCGAGGTAAGAAATACATATTGTCATTAGCCTGCTCAATTATCAACTATCCATCAATGTCAACCTTGAACTCAAGCGTGACCATGCGGCTGCGGCATTCAACCCGCCTATCAAAGCCTTTCATGAGGCTTGAAGACAGAGTTATCCCAACGAGAGCGAAGAAGAATATTTTGATAGGATGCGGGAAATGGCCACCTGACAACGAGTGAAAGCTGATCCCTAGGCTCGATGGCTACGATGCGCGATCATCGTGACTCGATTACTCAACTACTTTCCATCAACGTAATAAAAAGGGACATTCTTAACAGGGCAGATCTGGTGCCTATTGGTGGTACTACAGTCTTAGGACTTTTTAGGAGCACGTATGGTTATGTCTCAGCCATGTCATGGTTCACGGCCACGGTACCTGCGAAGACGGAACAAACATGAATCAAACTGGTTTAACGAAGTGGTCTATACAGAGGAATTGAGATGAAATTGAAAGTGAATTCGACAGGCTTTGGGATTCCGACAGATGGACATAGTAATCATTAAGTAAACAGATGCGGCGCCAACGAGTCATAGTTCTTGAGGCAGGAAACGAGCTGTCAACTTTAATTACTCTCGACTGCTCACGACACTGTCAGGGCAGTTTACCATCATTGTTGGAATTCATTGAGTCGTCGCTGTCGTCGCTTTCTGTATCGGATCTTTCATCATCCTGGCGGGCCGAGGCGTCCCTGTCTTCGTGCCATCTAAGGAGCGCGAGTATGTGACAAAAGGCAACTCTCCTTTCATCGCTAGATTCCAAATCGAACCACCTCGTGCTTTGCATCTGGACGGTTGCGTCCTTATCTTCGTTGTTGAAATTTTAAGTTGGCTTTCCTCGTCTGGAGCATCGAGGTACTCTGCGTAGTCGCGACCGAAAGTGAAGTGTACAAGGCGCACAAAGGTGCTGGTTGCTGCGATAAGAAAAACGCTATGACGGCCCAGTCCGGTCAAATCACCATTAACCAAACGAGACTAGCAGATTAACTTAGCTTACCCGTGAGACAGCAACGATTGGTTCTCTTTCCATGTTACGACTGCTTCGCCAAGATACTGGGCCAGAGTCTCATTGGAGACGACTGGAAGACGACGACCTGTCTTGTCATCAACACTAATATATCTAAATGCCCTCTTGGCTTCGAGTATTGCCAAATACGGATGGCTCATCTCCCACCCCAGCGTCCGGCGACGCAGCTGACAGATGCACCGTCATCCTCAGCCGCGACCGGGATCATTCCGCTGATGAAGGTTTTTGTTTTCCTCCGCTCAACCCGAGTTCGCACCTCAGAATCAGTGATTATGCCGATGGTATGCTGGCAAAAGCAAAGGTTCAATGCAAACTGCAAGAAAGCGGTAACCAGGTGAACTGTCACTTCTTCGGGCTTACTACGCCGATCTTCGTGCTCGTCCTGGTCCAATCCTTCCACCTCGACCTCAAACTCGGACGAGGATGGCGGCAGCGGCGGCGAGGATGAACCGACTATCGCCATCGCCGAGTTCATGTAGCCCTCTCGCCGAACCGGCCTTCTCTCCCGTTGGGGATATACCCTGTCCTCGTCGGTGATCTCGGGTCTGATCGCTCGCGCCAGCGCAGCCCAGAAAAACCCTTCCGGCAGGCGCATGAGGTCGCTTTCGGTCATCATCCTGAGATCACGAGGGTTCTCTCCTGTGAGGTTCTGGGTCCCTATAGGGTTGAGCTTTTGGGTCAGAGGCCTGTCCTCAGCACTGCAAATGGGGCATCGTAAAGCATGATCAGTTGCGAGTATCGGTAGAAAGACGGCTTCGGGCTGGACGAGCAGCCGGTAAGCGATGGTGTGGCGTAGGTTCCATCGGCTCGCCGAGCTAACAAGGTCGTCGCGGTCGAGTTGCCAGATGACACTTTTGTCCCCATGTTGCTTCGACGCGATTCTCAAGTCTTCAGAAGTGCGAGCGCAGTATGGTTTGTATTCCATCTTCAGTTAACACAGTAAGAGCGGTATTATGGCCAGTATGGTGTCATAGCTCCTGCTCACACCACTGTGCAGCAGCTGCGGTCGGAGGTGGCCATGGCAGTCGGATCGGGTAGAGATTTATCCGCGATGCTGTGGTTCTAGCGAATGACGTAATGAGCCACCTGCTGCGACCTGGGCTTAAAGTACCTAAAAACAACGACAAACCGCCCCATGGAATTCCTCCAGGAAGATGGTGATGGTTAGAGGAACCGACGACGCGCATTTGCTGGTACCTACTTTGAGATTGAAGCGACCGGCCTGCAATGCCAATTCGGGTCACCCGAAAAAGCGACATTGCACCGCCATAACAAGTCACCCGACACCGCAATTCGACACCGCCAGCCGGCTACCTCACTGGTCTTCAATTAATGGCATCATTCGCAAGCACAGCGGAGAAAGGCTTTTTGTCAACCCATTGCATTGGACCTCCCGACAGCTCGACCTCTTGGGCTGTAGTTTTGTCCACGAGAAAACCCGACGCCTGCCACGCGCAAAGAAAGCTGCTCGGCAACCACGGAGAAGGCCGTATCCTAGCCATCACTCTGACCGCCCCGAAGATGGCACTACCGCGCTCACCGGGCGGCCTTGTGCCGGAGCTGACGACACAGCCGTCTATTCTGCGGTCGAGAGTTTACGCTGCGTAAGCACTCCCGATTTCAAGACTTCTACGGTTTGGCAGTTGTTCCAGGCCTACGGCATGATCCGCAAAGGGCAAGTACCTTTATGGCTATGCGTGCGAATATCTTAGCTGATAGTACCTCCTTTGTAGGCCTGGCGTATCATTTCGGTTTAACCAGCGCGACGTCTGTGTTCTTGGAACCGACGGCCTCTTCGAGTGTCCTTCGTCGTCCGACATACCTGTCCTCGTTCTTGCATACCTCGATCTCCAGGCTTTGCGTGTCCGCCGCGATAAGTCAATCAAGCCCTATATAGGCAAGCGATTTGACATGCCGAATACACGTATTCGACAGAAGCTGCAACGTCGGCTCCGGCCACCGAATGAACTAGAGGATCCATATATCCTGTCCCTTCTGATCGCACTCGCTCAGCAGCGGAGACACCAACAGCGAGCATTGGTCAGGGAGAGTGCCACGGTAAACCTATCGGCTATGTATCCTATACCGAGTTCCCTGAAACCCCGGCCAACACTACCACCATCTTCCCGAATGCCAGCCGCCACAGAAGCGATGGAGGCGGCTGGCGGAACAGACATAAAGGTATTGATTGACCTCACGGCGATTCCCTTCATCTTCCCTTTGGTCTAATTGGTGCTCAATAGGTTCATGCTCTAGTCCGTCCTATCACAGAAGGGGACTGTTTCTTCCTTTATAGTACCACTGTGCCATTCTCCTTCCTCGATCGATTCGATCATCCGTCGGATCATATACCGATTGTGCCGTTACAGGTTGGGTACCGTCGGATCCACCTTGCTGAGTCAAGTATGGCCAAAATGATAAACAGGGTGATCTCTGCGGCGTGCGCCTATCAGATTAGCACTTGAATGCTGCACAGGCCAAACTCTTCGGTATTTGTGTGACGGCACACAAGCAGCAGTAAGCGGCGCCAACACCCCACCCCCTGACCTGCTGCGTAGATGGTTAATGAAACGTTACATTCAAAGCAAAGAGCCCCAATTAGAAGAAATGCCTTCGTCGCGTTTTTTGGGATATCCCTAGAAGTCGATTGTTCATTGTGTATGCGACCACAGGAACTGGACGTAAGCCTTCATCCGGCTTCTCCCGTTACAAGCAAATCGCTGTGTCAGACCCTGTGGTTGGTCATTCTACGTTACAATGTGAAGCTCGTCTCAATGGAGGTTCTAACCCTGTGAGGGAATTCGTATGTACTTCATCGAAGCTCGTGATGCTGCCTACAGACATAACCCAACCTTCACATACCCATTCCGTCTTACTCCGCAAAGTAGATGGCTACCTTCGCCTCCTTCTTGCCATTGAAGCGGCTGTAGTACTCTGGCGCATCCTCAATGCCAATAACGGCACTGATCACGAAGCTGGGATGGGCTTTACCGCTGTTGATGAGATCGATCAGCAGGGGAGCGTACTTCTTTGGATCTACAGCTCCCGTCCGGAAGCTCAAGCCCTTGGCGAAAAAGGTCGAAATGGGAAAAGGGATGGTGGGCGAAATGGTGCTACCGTACGGCGCACCAGGTGAGCTGTCTTGAGAACTGTAAACGCCCAGCTGACCGATGCCTCCGCCAAAATGCACCACGTCAATCATCTGCTGCACGACAACGCTCTCGTTCATCTCAAGGTTGGTGTCCAGAGCCTCCATACCAACACAGTCGACGGTGCGCATCACCCCGCGCGGTTCGTGCGCCAAGATTTGCGCGACGGGATCGCTCTTTGCGAAGTTGATCGGGATGGCTCCGATGGAAGCGGCAAGCTCGAGGCGTTCCTCGACGTGGTCGACAACGTAGACCTTGGAAGCCCCACGCAAGATGGCCGAGTAGGCAGAGAGCAGCCCGACGGGACCGGCCCCGAAGACGGCGACGGAATCACCGGGCTGGAAGCCGCTGTAGTCGATTCCGGCCCACCCCGTAGCGAAGATGTCCGACACAGTGAGGTAGTCGTGCTCGATCGTCGAGTTGGCGGTTTCGTGGGTCAGAGGGATAGGGATCAAGTTGGTGTCGGCGAAAGGGACCCTCGCATACTCGGCTACGTATCCTGTCGTTAGCACATTGCAATCTCGCGCGCCGAGAGGAGTTGTTCGGCAGGGCCGGTCGCACCTTGGAGCCCACCAAAGTCC